GAGGGGCGTGTGGACACGAGGGATGTGTGGACACGAGGTGTGTGGACACGAGGTACGTGGACACGAGGGGCGTGTGGACACAAGGTGTGTGGACACGAGGGATGTGTGGACACGAGGTGTGTGGACACGAGGTGTGTGGACACGAGGTGTGTGGACACGAGGGGCGTGTGGACACAAGGTGTGTGGACACGAGGGACGTGTGGACACGAGGGACGTGTGGACACGAGGGGCGTGTGGACACGAGGTGTGTGGACACGAGGGGCACGTTTGGTCAAAGCCTTCCAAACACTCCTTCCACTGGACCTCTTGTAACCAAGAACCAGGTGTCCCCTTGGGGGTGGGGAACAGGTGCCCTCTGGTTAGTGGTGGTTACCACCTTTCAGACATGACATCAGCAACCCAGGCAAGAAACTCCACTTGGTGAGAACCCAGAGCTGGTTTGGGGAATAAGTTTAGACTGGCTAAACTCATATATGACAGATGTATAAACCATAAGGCTTGCGTGTTCGTTAACCACAAGACAGATCCCTTTCCAGGGCCTAGGTGTTTCTCATCTAAGGTCCAAGCTCCCTTCTCCTGGGATGAAGGTACTTGGGAGGCCACGTGCATCCCTCAAAGGAAATTTGGGCAACACAGGTCAGGGGTTCATTAAGTCACAGTGACCAAGGGAGGGCCTGGGTCAGTTAGTCAATTCGTCAACAAATGGTTATTGTCCACCTGTGGTGTGCCAGGCCTTGCCTGGGAGGTGAGGTCAGTGGTGCAAAGCCAGACCAGCCCTGACCCCTGAAGCTGACTGATGGCTTGGCAAGGAAGGTGGACACTGAATGAGTTGTCACCAGTGATTTGTGATGACAGGCAGGTGACAAGGGTGCACCAAACACTTGATGAGCACTAGGACCTTGGGGGACCAAACAGGACCCTTTGGGGGTCGGAGAGCCCCCTGGGCAGCGACCTTGGCCTGAGAGCTGAAGTCTGGGCAGGGGAGAGAGGGACCAAGGGGCTGAGAGGCATCTGTGGCCCCAGGGGTCTGGAGGGTGGGTTGCACGGGGGAGACCAGGTGGGGACCCAGAGGAACTGGAGCGGGTCAGGCCTGGCAGGCCGGGGAGCAAGGCGGATCCCAGGGGGTGGGCCTGGAGATCAATCCTGGCCTGCTCTTGACCGTGGGACCAGCGCGAGGCTCCTACCCTGGGAGCCTACGTGCATCTGCCTCAGAGAGGGCGCCGTCGGGGGTAATCCCCCACAAGAGCTCAGCACAGAGCACAGATTTCCGCCGAGCCTGGGTCTCGGTGTGGACATGGGACCACCTGTGGTTCTGCTGTCCCGGGCCCCCTCAGCCTGGCAAGTGCCTCATTGTTTGCTGACTTCTTTTACAGACAAGCAGTATGCCACCTTTTCTCAATAAACAGATAATTTCTCAATATATATAAAATATCGAATCATTACGCTATACACCTGGGACTAATAGAACGTTAAATGTCAATTATACCTCATAAAGAATAGACAGATTTATTGTTTCTTAACAATTGCAAATAATATATCGCACATTAGATTTTTTCACTTAATTTTTTGAATAGGTAACAGTCATGTGATTCAAAAACCCCGGTGTACAAAAGGGCACACAGGGAAAGGTCTCGTTGCACCACTGCCCCGTGTTCCCACCCCAGGGGGCCACTGTTACGTGTGTCATACAGTCCATGATGGACGGACAGACGGATGGATGGATGGGTGGACAGATGGATGGATGGATGGATGGACAGATGGACAGACAGATAGAGCAATAGAGATAGGTGATAGATACATAGATAGATAGATAGATAGATAGATAGATAGATGATAGATTTCAAAGTTTTTTTTAATACACTTGTTGCTCCTTATCCATTGATTCTTATCTCTCTCTCCCAGGGCTTACTTTCTTGAGACTTCCTTCTCACCACACATGTGTGCACACGCACACACACACACACCCTCCCCCCTTCCCCACCACAGACCTAATGTCACTTCGCCTCTCTCCACAAGCCTCCACTTTCTCACTCGGCCTGTCCGAAGCCCCACAGGGGGCACTCATGGGGCCCCTCCCTTGTTTCACACACACAGGGCAGGGAAACCACCAGGTCTGCCACCCTCACAGCACCTCGCACTCATGCACGGGGCAGAGGGAGCGTGGGGTGACACTCATCACTTTACTAGCTCCATGCAGGTTCCATCTGGCCCTGAGCCCCCACCGTCAGATGAAGAGGAAATAATGTCTTTTTTAAGGGTGGGGGGCTGCCCATCCCTCACCCCCCCAGGGCTCTGGAGGTCTAGGTGGCCCAGAATGTCCAGGGGAAGCCCTCTGTCTTAGCCAGCTGCTGCCAGCAAGTGTCCAGGCCTTCGAGGTCCCCAAGTGGGGATGTTCTGGATGTCTGAGCCACACCCAGAGTCAGGGACCTTTGTGCACTGAGATCGGGAGCAGGGGGCTCAGAGTCAGCCTGCCATCTCACTGAGGCCTCTCTCCGAAGTCTTGTTGGGCCAGGGGCTGTCCTCACCCCCAGAGAGCCTCCTCTTTTCCTCAGCTCCTTCTGCACCATAAGATCTCCCGCCTCCTTCTGTGTGAGTCTGATCCCCAGACTACGTGCTCCCTCAGGAGAGGCACCATGTCCAGTCCCTCTCCAACCCCCTGGGCCAGGCATGCAGCAGGTGCTCAATAAACCACTACTAAGTGACCCCTGGGTGACCACCTGCTTCCTAGCCAGCCGTGTTTTCATCTCTGGATAATCTACGCCTCCCGCCTTTATAATCAAGGCAGGAAGAAACTGCCCCAACAGAGAAACTTGTCCTCAGCAGCTCTCTGCTCATTGGCTACAGAGGTTTCCTGCCTAGACCCTCATGATCCTCCAGACGGACACACAATGTGCCCACACGCATCGTCTCTCATTTCACTTTCTAACCTTTTATCCTCATCTTATTTTGGGACCACTAATCCTAAAGAATCCCCTGGGTGGCCCAGTCACCCAAGAAAGATCACCAACACAACCAAGGGTTGGGTATCGCTCTGAAGCCTGTTGTCTGGTTCACCAAAACCAAGAGGTGGACAGCGCAGTCACAGTGGTGACGGGCACGCCCATTCGGAAGCCCAGGCTCCTCTTTGTTCCAGATTCCTTAATCCTGCCGAAGTCTGGCTCCAGCTGTGCTCACATCTGCATAAAAAGAGGGACATGAGCCAAAGCGGGTATTAGGCAAAGTCCTGGCAGGTGAGCACAGCGTTCAGCTCCCTCCTGACGCCGAGCACGGAACCCACAGGTGGGGTTTGTTCCGCACATGCCGGTGGAGCAGAGAAGGGAGCAGCTCTGGGAGGTTTCAAGAAAGACATGGAGAAGGCGGTTTCCTCTTGCCCAAATCATTCAACCTACCTCCCTGTGTCGAGTCGGATCCCCAGATACACATTCCAGGATCTGCCTATAACAAAAGGAGCCAGGTGTCTGAGGAGCGCAGCTGGCCCACCACGGTTCAGGCGCGGAAGCTAGGTGCAGGCACACAGGACAACCGGCCCCCGGAGCCTCCTGGGCCATGAGGCGAGGATACAGGCACAGCCACCCGGCAGCCACCGCAGAAGAGGCTGAGTGCCCTGAGAGGGGCACAGAGGGGCCAAAGCTGCCCGGCAGGGCTCAGGGGGGTCCTGGGGGCCAGGCTCTCCGGACTGAAGATGCCGGGATGGAGTGGGGGAGGAGCAGAGAGCCAACCTGGCCGGGGAGCAGGGGCCCCACGCTGTCCAGGGAACAGTAAGGAGATTAATAATGCTGAGGGCCACCATCTGTCGGGCACTTACTGCTGTGTTAAGTGGCTTCGAGCCGAGCTTCATGCCTGCCTTGCAGCAACCAGCTGAGACAAGTGCCACCAGCGGGGCAGGGCAGAGGACAGGCGCACTGGCCGCCGGAATCAGCACGTCCAGCCAGATCTCGAATCCACATGACTGCTGGTGGCCCTGGGCCATCGCGGAATCCTCTCCAAGCCACCTCTCCCCCGTGGCATTGTGGGGACAGCCCCCTTCACAGATGGGAAGCGGAGACTCAGGCCCCGCCAGCTGACCCCGCTCTGAGTGTCGTCCCAGGGGGTGAGGCTGACCAGAGCCTGCACCGGCCAAGGGGCAGCGCGCACCCGCGTGGCTCCAGCTGCGCACTAGGAAGCCCGAGCGCGCGTGCGGGGCTGGCCGGACAGACGGCGGGCAGGGCAGCCAGCCCGTCGGAAGCCCCGGGGACGCGCCGTGTGGTCCCACTGCCCGGAGGAGGAACCCGGGGCCTAACGAGGCGCAGCGCCCGGCGCGGCCCACACAACGACCGCGGAAGAGCCGGGAGAGAACCCGGAAGCCCGACCGAGAGTCCACACCTGGCGGGAGGGAAAGCGCGCTCTGCGCACGCGTCTGGGGCGGGCACCGCGGTGGGCGTGGCCTGGCGGGAAGGGGCGGGGCGAAGCTCGCGGGGGCGGGGGTGGAGGGGCGGAGCCGGCGGCCATGACGGCCTTGATTGGGTGCTGCTTTGAGCGCGTCACCCGACCGCCTTCAGGCCCCGCCAGGCCCCGCCCAGGCCCCGCCCCCGCCGCCCGGGTTAACCCTACACGGCCCACCTGCCGGTCAGCCGCGAGGCGGTGGTCCCGGCGGCTGGGCCCCCTGTCGGCCAGGGCAACAATGGAAGCGCTGGGAGCCCGCGCCCGCAGAACTGTCGGTTGCTGGTTCTTTTCTTCTTAGCCGCTTTATTGAGACGTAATTTGCACTTCCGCCCTTTGAAGCGCGCAGTTCACGGAGCTGTACCCAGAGCTGCGCAGCCACCGCCACCGCCTGATTTAAAGGTTTCCCTGCCCCCTCCAAGTCCGCTCTATTTCCGCGACCCGCCCGTTCTGACGGCGCTGCGCCGCGGGGCCCGGCCGCCAGGGGGCGCCGCGAGCCGGCCCTCAGTTGCGCCTGCGCCTACGCCGCGCGCGAGCCCGAGCGCGAGCCCCCGAGAGCGCGCCCGCCCCGCGAGTGCGCCTGCGCGGAGCCGTGGCCGCGCCCGCTCCCGCCGGGGGGCTCGTCGCTGGGCGGCCGGGCCATGGGGGAGGCTGAGGTGGGCGGCGGCGGCGCGGCGGGCGACAAGGGGCCGGGCGAGGCGGCCACCAGCCCGGCCGAGGAGACGGTGGTGTGGAGCCCCGAGGTGGAGGTGTGCCTCTTCCACGCCATGCTGGGCCACAAGCCCGTCGGTGAGCGGGGCGCCGCGGACCCGCGTGGGGGCGGGGCGGGCGGGCGGGCAACGGCCGGGGGCGCGGGCGGGGCGGAGTCTGCTGCACCCCTACTCCGTGCCCTCGCGGACCCTGCCCCTCCTGCACCCCAATCCTGCGCCCCCGGCGGACCCTGCCCCTCCTGCACCCCAACCCCGTGCCCCCCGCGGACCCTGCTCTTCCGGCACCCACCCCTGACCTGTCTGCACCCACTCACCCTTTTCCCCTCCTACACACCCACCACTGCTCCCTCCTTCATTCCCACCCCTGCCTCCCTCTACACCCACCCACCTGGCAACCCCTCTTGCACCACCACCCCCTCCTAAACCCACTCCTACCCCCTCCTGTACCCCCACCCCTGCCCCCCTTTTTACTCCTTCCCCCCATCTCCTACCTCTGCCCCCTTTCTCCTCCCTGCCCCATCTACTCCTCCCCTCTTAGCTGCTGACCCCTTCCTCCTGTAGGTGTGAACCGGCACTTCCACATGATTTGTATCCGGGACAAGTTCAGCCAGAACATTGGTCGTCAGGTCCCATCCAAGGTCATTTGGGACCACCTGAGCACCATGTATGACATGCAGGCCCTGGTGAGCTGACCCTTCCCTCCCCAGTCCTCCCAAGGCCAGAGCCTCGCCTTCCCCAGACAGATCGGGTGGCAGAGTGCCCCTCTTGCCTCCCCTTGGGGCTGTGCCAGACTCCTGTTCTCAGAGAGCTCGATGTCCCGTGGACGTCCCGTGGGGGATCACGATAACAAGAGAGCTCCAAGTAGTTCTACAAAATCTACAAGCCTAGCTCTGGTAGCTTGTTACTTGTGTGGAACGTCTCTTAGATTGGGTGGTCAGTGGAGGTCTCTCCACAGCAGTAACTGGAGAGCTAGGCCTGTGGGGGGCCCTTAGGCCACTGTCGGTCTTATGGGAGGGCCCAGAGTGCTCCAGGCAGGAAGCTGGCCAGAGGGGAGTCACATTAAGGGGAACAGCAGTGAGTACCAGGCACACAGGGAGGCCTCATGGAACCCCCAGCTAGCCTGGGCAGGTGAGCAGGTTACCTGGGTAACCAGGATGGCGAGAAGAGACAGAGGAACGGCAGGTGTCGAGGCCCCGCAGCAGCAAGAGTTGATGGATCAAGGAGCTTAGAGAGGCGAGTGCACTTGGAGAGTGGGGGGGGACAGGGGGCAGGGGACTAGAGGGGTGGGAACCTGTTCCGGGGTTAGTAAGGCTCTGTCTCCCCCTGGACTTGGGCTGCACCAGCCCTCCCAGCTGAGACCCGGGGGGTCTCGCCGAGACGGGGAGCGCTTGCCCTGGCCTTGCGTCCAGATCCTGCAGTGCCACTTGCTTCCTGTTGGCCTTGGGTGAGTCGTTTGCAACTCTTTGTCATAGCGTAGAAAAGGCATAAAGATGACAGCCTGTAGCCTGGCACTGACCGCCCGGCCTGCAGCACGCACCCTAGAAACTCGAGCCACTGCTGCTGCGTTCAGGACAAGCTGCTAAACTGCAGGAGGGCCTCCTGGAGTCACCTCACTTGTGGGTCAGAGCACGTCTGCTCTCGTGAATTCCCATGCCTGTCATGTTGTGGGGTCACCTGGTCCCCAGGCACTCCCCGTGGCCTGACTCCATGCTGGGGGGGGCCGGATCTGGACACAGAGATGAGTGCAGCAGGGTCCCTGTCCTGGGGGAGCCCCTGGTGCAGAGGGGAAGACGGGAAGACAGACAGACAGACAGCTCTGAGCTGCAGACAGTGGCTCAGAGGAGCTTGTAGCTGTGAGGCCCCACACGGGGCCCGTGTGATGCACAGGGAGCTGCAGGGTGCCGTTTGTTCAGGACTGGCCAAGACCTTGGGACTGTCCCCTCCTTAGACCTCATCACCACTATGAGTCTGATGCCAGAGTCACCCGGGGCCTTGTGAACACAAGTCCCTGGATCCACCCACAGGTGACCCATGGGCACAGGAATGGAGGAGCTTTTGAAGCTCCCAAATGTCAGTCAGTGCATTGCGGTGTGGAGGCCTCATCTCTTGCATCTCCCTCCCAATTGAGACCCTCCCAGCAGCTCAGCTTTCCCTTTGGCCAGCAGTCTGTGTTTCCAGGGTCCTGGCCCCCCTGGCATGTGTGCCCTGCAGGACAGGTGGAACCCCATAAGCATTCGACATGCCTTGCTCTACTTTGCTCCCTTACCTGATTGCCGTGAGGCTGGCTTTTCTGCCAGCAGCCTGGCTCCTGACAGGCGGATGGGCACTCAGGCGCCGTGTCCGTTCCTCAGGGCTGTCACCGCCCTCTGACTATGCTCTCGGGGTAAGGGAGCCGTCGGCAGGGAGTCCAGCCTGCCCCGTGGCAGCCACCCCAGCCTCATCTTGGGGGCTCCTGCCCGTGGCCTGCACTGTAGTTTTTGCCTCCCATGAGTCTGTGTGAGAAGCCCAGCCCCGCTGACCATGCCAGCAGAAAGAACGAAGGGTCTTCACACTCCCGGGGCCCACCCGCTGCAGCCCTCTAGGACAGCTGTGTGTGTTCATTGGTTGCTCCTGAATGGCTCTTACACATTTTTAGTGACTTGCTAAAATCACTTTTTCTTGTTTGTTTCTTATAAAAAAATAAAATGCCCTGTTTACCATCAGCATGAGTCTGAGATTCTTCCATTCCCGAATCCAGAGAGGAACTTCGTCCTTCCGGAAGAGATCATTCAAGAAGTCCGAGAAGGTGAGACTCCAGGGGTCAGATTTGGGAATTAGACAAGACGGGATGTGGTGTCAGGGTGAAGGTCATGACCTCAGGGAGGAGTGAGGGTTGCTGGTGTGATGCTCAGTCCACCTGGATTGGGGAGGCCTGGGGAGCCTCCAGGGATGAGGGGGGACTTTGTTCAAGAACACTCGACTTTCTCTAAAAGCAGCCTGGCCGCAGCCGAGGTCCACACACACCTCCCGAGTCGGGAGCAGCCCAGCCTGAGCCACCCGCAGGTTGGCTTCTAGTAAATGTCAGCTGTGTCCCCCACAGGAAAAGTGATCATTGAAGAGGAAATGAAAGAGGAGATGAAGGAAGACGTGGACCCCCACAACGGGGCCGACGATGGTAAGTGTGGAGCATGCCCCACCCCTCCCCTGAGGCCCGGGACCCAGCACCCCACCCGCTGCAAGGCCTCCCTGCAGGGCGCAGCCACACGATCCCGGCCTGTGTTTCAAGTCCACTTGTAGCCAGAGCCACTCTGTCTGGTTCAGCAGTTAAGAAGGCAGCTTCCATCTGCTCAGATGGGAGCCTCGATGTGTGTGGAAGTCGTGCATGTGGCCAACTCCGTGAAGGAACCACAGGGCAGCCTCGGGCACCAGTGTCCACTCAGGTGGACAGTGCGCAGTGCAAGGGGCCCGACTGGAGTAAAACGTGTGCCTGTCGTCTCAGAGCAGGACAGACCCTGGATAGCAGAGATGCGCAGGGCCCACGCCTTGTTCCGCCTTGTCGGACGGGCGCACATGGACGGCCGGGCAGGGTCCTGCAGCCTGACCGCATGCTGCCCGAGGCCCGCACGGTGGGCAAGTCCTCGGGAGGACCAGGCGCTCTTCAGGCCACGCGGGCGCCCCCAGCTCAGGAGAAGACTTTTGGTTCAGAGTGTCACGTGTGTAGATACAGATTTTTTTAACTGAACAGGAAGATGAAATAAAATTCTGGATATTCTGTTTTCAGCCAAATGATTTTGTCTCCCAGTTTTTTCATCTTCAGGAAGCTTGGGGAAAGCCACAGAAAAACCCAGCAAAGACAAAGACAAGAACTCCTCAGACTTGGGGTCCAAAGAAGGGGCGGACAAGCGGAAGCGCAGCCGTGTCACCGACAAAGTCCTGACCGCCAACAGCAACCCCTCCAGCCCCAGCTCCGCCAAGCGGCGCCGAACATAGATGCTCCCCGGGGCGCAGAGGAAGGCGGCCGGGCGGGAGCCGTGCTCACCAGGCAGGCAGCTGGCCAGACGCCGGAGGCCCCGCACTGCCCGCTCAGACCATCTGGGCTCTGGTGGACCCTCGGGCCCAGGACGCCTGCTCTCAGGCATTGAGAGGTGTGAGTTGCGAGCCAGGCTCTGTCTTCTCTGGACGTCCACGCATGACTGCCCGTGGTGTGGCATCAGCTCCACCTCTGCTGAAGCGCGGGTGGGCCTGAGGCTCCTGGCCGCGGAGGCAGAGTGGGCCAGGCGGAGACCCGGCACGGCAGGCAGTAGAACGAGTTCCCCTCCCGCCTCTGAGGAGCGCTGGTGTTCCCGGGTGACTCGGCTCTTCCCATGCATCCATCCGTCCATCTGTCCATCTGTGAGCCACTCCTACAGTGACTGCCTCCTCAGGAGACAGTCAGGCCCCTGGGCCCATGCCGTGCCCCCCTCGCCGCCTGAGAAACCGAGGACTGGATGTTTGCCTCATTCACTTGTACTGTAACGATGTATATAATTTGGTCGGTGTTTCATTATTTAATTTTTAAGAAGCCTATTTTACTAGTGTTTTTTATGAGGAAAATACTGCAGAAGTTGAACCTGTGTTGTATTTTTTCTGAGATGTTTTGTTTTAAGGTGATGACTACTGAGGTACTTTTTGCTCAGTTTTTATATGCCAGTACAGAGAATTTGTAGCAGTTATTTTTGTATTACTGAGTAGCTAGCAAACAGACCAAATGAGTGAGTGAGGGGAAGGCTCAGCCGTGGGCTGCCCAGGCGGTGGCCCCAGGGTGACTAAACACTGCCGTTCGACTGCGGAACATTAAAGCACAAAAAGCAAGCTGGAGTCGTGTGATTCTGACGCGAAGATGAGTTACCTTTTCCTACATTAGGAAGTTGGTGTTTTTCCAAGATTTGTAACTGCAGCTTACACTTAGATGACTTATTAACATTCACTGGATACAGTGTATATACAAAATAGTAACAGGCCAGAGAGGTTACTTTGTTGAGGGTGACTAGCCCTTCAACTGCAAAATGTTGGGAGAGCAAATGGGAGCGCTGGCGCCTCCTTCGGGCTGGATGGCGTGTGTGCCGTGAGGCTGCGGGCTGCTTGCTCTCCACGACGAGGGTCCAGCCATTCCACGTGGACCGAAAAGGAGGCGCTCTCCCTCCTGGCCAGCCACCACGCCCCGGCTTTTCCTCTCGACAAACCACGAGGAGACAACTGCCAGCCCCCCAGCGGACGGGGCCTTCCCACCGTCCAGGAGCAGGAGGTCAGAAGGTGCCACAGCCCATGAGGCCAGGCCAGGCAGCGTTTCTTCTCCATTCTGAGATGACGTCCCTGAGGTCTGCTGCTGTCCGAGCACAGCAGATGCCACACTCGCCCTGAATACTCACATACGGGGCTCTCTGTCGCTCTCCCCTGCCACGGAGCAGGCAGTGTGCTCTGCATGCGTCTGAGAGGTCCGCGTCGTAGTAGGTTCTAGAACCGACTGGGGGAGAGCACGCGCCTGCCTTCTTGGCTTCCCTCTCATGGCCAGCATGTCCTGCAGCCCTCCATCAGTCCTCGCTCTGTGCCAGGTCCTGTCGCTGGAGTCAGGATGTGTGAGCCCCGACCTGTCAGGGAGGCAGGACAGCCGGCACGGGGGTGGCACGTGGTGCAAGGAAGGAGCAGGATGGGGCGGGGGGCTCTTCCCCAGGCTCACTGGTGAACCCCCATCTGAAACAGCATCTTCTGGGACCTCAGAACACACTGGAAAAGCCTAATCAATAAATCAAACCTGCCTCATTTCAATTATTTTACATTTTACTGCCCTTCCAGGGGAAGGGGGCAGCCTGCAGGGCAGACAGTGGGTGCTCCCCAGCCTCGGGCGTCCCGCTCTTGCCCTGCTCCCTATGGCCTCACACCTGCCAGTGAGACTGAGCCAGCAGCCATGCTGGGTGGACAGATGCCCGTGCTCTCTGGGCTGCTCCATCTTGACCAGCTCACAGGATCTTGGCTTCCCTGTGGGCAGGTCCAGCTCAGTCTGTGCAGGTCAGACTCACAGGCATGTGTCACACCTAAGCTCTCCTGGCCTAGGGGTCTGTTCTGTGACACGAGGGTCTCGTACTCTCACCACATAACGCAGGAGGTGCCGATGGAAGTCGGATGTCGGATCTGAAAGAGAAGACGGGGCCGCGGAACTAAGGGACACGGCGTGGTTGGTTCTGCAGTTCACTCTCTGCTAAGATTCCAGTTGTTAAAAACCTCTGTGGACCGAAGACGAGAACCCTCCACACAGGCTCCCTCCGCCAAGGACACCTGGGCCCGAGCACCTCCCCTGCAGCCACCAAAGACCTTTCCTGCATGGCCAGCCGGTGGGAATCGGGTGGGTGTGTGCTCAGCTCTCCCTACTCTGGCCCAGCCAGACCCCCTGGATGGTCCCGAGGGACCGTGGCTCCCAGGCAGTTGGTCAGTTCATGTTGCTTGGCACGCGCAGGGTGCAGTCAGGCTTCCCACACGGCAGGTCGCGTGGGGATGGGGCAGACTTCGGCCAGATAACGTGGCTGTAACTATTTTTGCTTGAGGAAAGTGTTCCCGCAGGTCTAACCTGAGTCCACCTCAGCAAAACTAACTCCTCAAGACCCCTCAGCCGGGAGCACCGCCTCCAGGCAGACCTCTTGCTGCTGGTGCCCGAGGAGTGCCCCTCTGCAAGTGCCTGTGGGTGTGACTTCCGGGGGGCATTGTGGCAGGCGCACCACTCTTAGCCCCTTGCCCAGCCTCACAGCCAGCTTTCTGGATGCTGAGCCCACAGTGGCGTCCCTGGACAGCAGAGGGGAAGAAACGCCACCCTGTCATGTGGAGCCCCGGCTCTAGCTTGTTCCCACAGCAGAATCTGGGCTTCCCACATTAACACCCTCGGAGATGAACTCTGCACAGACTGCACACAGGAACACCTAGAGACGCAGCTGGGTGTGGCAAGGATTTGTAAAGCAGGAGCTGGGCGATGTCTTAAGAACAAGTCTCTTGGGGAAGTGGCCTGCAGTGTGGCCCTGGCAGCACACAGCAGTGAGGAGGCTGTGGGCGCTGAGCACTGCCAGGCCAGATGATGAAGAGACATCCTCCTCCAGAGCAGGCTTGTCTCTGTTTTCTGGGGCAGAGAAGGGGCAGAGCCTGCACACCAAAGTGCTCTCAGCACAGCCAAACCCTGGATGATGGCCCCAGCACCCATCCACGCCGCCATCAGAGGCCCCCCACCTACCCAGACATCACACTCAGTGTCTCCAAGGCCAGCTGCAGATAGGCTACAAGAAGGTCAGGCCCAAGTCAGCAATCCACAGTTGGCGGCAGCTGCTGGCTCTCTTACTCCCCGGGAACCCCGCCCTGGCCGTTGATGGAGGACAATCTGCAGAAATGCCCAGAACACTATCCCTTTGGGGGGGGTGGGGGGGAGGCACCACCACTCTTTTCAGAAAGTGAGACAGCGTGTACCCAGGTTCCAGCCACGTGAGACTGCCCGGAGAGCTGACGGAGGTTGACAACTACCACCGAGAAAGGGCTTTGGCTGTGACCATGACCAAGACTGGAAGGTTCTCCACAGCTCTTGGCTGTCATCAGCTGCACAGCTTAAAAAGTGTCACCACCCCCGGGCACAGGCAGCCTGAGGCCTGTCAGCTGGCTTGCAGGGCTGGGAGAGGCCAGCGTCCCTGTGGGCTGGGCCTAGACTTCACCTTCTCACCCCCATTCCCCACAGGCAGCTCTCTCAGGAGCTATCCTCATGGCCAAATCTAAAAGCCAGACTTGAGTTTTAGCTAAAAACAACAAAATGGTATAGTAATTACAGAAGAATTTTACCTAGGGTAGCCACTCCCAATTTTCATTTTGAGGGGTGGGTCACCGACTTTGCTGGAGCTCCCGTGGCCACCCAGCAGATGTCAAAAGCAGAGGTTAAGTAAGGGACTCACGGGCACTGGGAAATTTGCACCCGAAGGTGGTCTTCAGCTACCTGAAACCTGCCAATGTCTGTAAAGAGGGCAGCCACCACCAGCCACCTCCCAGCCCCGAGAGGCCCCTAAGGGGGCACTTATCTGGAGCCAGCCTGTGTCAAGCAGCCCGAGGGTAACCCCACCTCCTGGTGTTCCAGCCTTTGTACGGTGGCCCCACTGAGTGCAGGCAGCACCCGTGTCTTACAACCAACAAAATGTGGCAAAGGGGACAGAGGTCAGGCCCACGAGGACGTGCATTATCGGATTCTGAGCACACTGGGGACACCCTCCTGCTGGCCTTGAGGAAGCAAACTGCCCAGTGGTGAACCATCTGTGGAAGGGACAGGGGGACCTCCGTCCTACAGCCCCAAGAAGGTGGTTCTGCCAACAATCCGAGAGAGCCTGGAAGCAGCCTGCTCCTCAGGTGAGGAAAACAGCCCCAGCTGACACCTGGAGAGCATCCTGGAGGGTCACCTTCGGGGGACATTCATCTGGGGGGGGACAACTTACAGGCGGTATCCTTCTAGGGGGCATCTTCGTAGGGGGATATCCTGCTGTGGGTGTCCTTGAAGAACACTCTCCAGGTGGCACACTCTCCGGTGAGATACTCTCCAGGGGCGACACCCTCTAGGGGGACACTCTGGGGAGACGCCCTCCAGGGGGACACTCTCTAGGAGGGCCATTCTCTGGGGAGAAAGGATATTCCCCGGGGGGCCGGGTTCCAAGACATCAGCATCCTCAAGAATCCGCCAGAGGAGGCTTCCTTCAGGAGGGCATCCTTGGGGGCATCCCCTGGGCGGGGACATTACTCTAGGGCGGCATCCTGCGGGGTGATTCTCTAGGGGTGGGTGCTCCAGAGACATCCTCTGGAGGAGGGATTCTCCGGGGTAGGCATCCTGCAGGGAGGGGCCTTCTCAGAGGGGAGGGCCTTAGGGGAAACCCTCTGAGGGGCATGTCGGGGGAGGGGGTGCTCTGGGAGGGGCTCTCCTGGGGGGGGGGGCGTACATCCTCTGTGGACAGCCTCCAGGGGGCATTCTTCAGAGAGACGTTGTCCCTGAGGTCATCCTCCAGGGTGGGTATCATGGCGGAGAGGTGTCCTCCAGGGGCTGCGTTCAGGGGGGACGGGATTTTCGGGACGGGTCTCTGGGGGACAGGGGTTCTCTAGAAACATCTTCCAGAGGGCACCCTGGGGGGGCATCCTTCGGGCTACATTCTTCTGGGGAGGACACTTCCGTGCGTGGCTGCCTCCAGGCAGTCATGACCATGGGGACAGCTAGGGGCGGGCATCCTCGGGGCCGACGGCGTCAGCAGCACGGGGTCGCTGGGCGGCGCTTCCCCGGCCCGCCCCCCCGCCCGCCCCCGCGCTTCCTTCTTCTTCCAGTTTCGCTTCCGCCGGAGCGCGGTCCCCGCCGCCGCCCGAGCATGGACGACCAGGACTGGGATTCGACCTGGGAGGAGGACGAGGAGGACGACGACGAGGGCCCGAGCGCCGGGGGCGACGAGCATGGCGAGGCCGGCGGCCCGGGGGACGCGGACGCGGAGGACGACGACGAGGATGAGGAGGAGCCACGGCCCCGAGCGCTCCAGGTGCAGCCCCTCCGCACGGCCCCGCGCCCGGCCCGGACCCCCGCGCCCCTGGGGAGGCCTGCCCTGCCGCCGCGGAATGGGGGTCAGGTGCCCCTGCTCCAGGGAAAGCCGTCCCCCCGGGGCTGGAGCGGAGGCACCTCTTAGGGACCCGGCTGAGGGCTCGGCTCTTCCTCTCCAGCTGTTGCTCTCTTCCAGACCTGAGACCTTGTCCTGCTCCCCTCATGACCCCCTGGACACCCTGAGATCTGCCCTGACCTGTGCCCCCCCACCTCTGGCCCAGCCAGTGGACCTTGCAGGGACATCCAGGGCCACCCTCAGACCTGCATCCCCAGGACTGAATATGATAATGACACTTTCTCCAGGGGATGCCCTGGGTGCATCCTTGACTTCCCTCCATGTGTTACATCCCACCTCCAGTTCCTTATCTCTGTCCTCTAAATAGATCCCAGCTCTCTAGCTGGCCACCTCCACTGCTTCTGCCAGCCTCTTGGCCTCTTGGCACTCCGTGCTTCCACCCTAGTGCCGCTCAGGGAGCACCTCACCCTCTCCCCACCCCCCAAGACCCGGGTGCTCAGGCCCATGAGCCCACAGTGTGCCCCAACCCCACTGTTGCTCCCTGGGTGCGGCACCCACCCACGTGGGCTGGGACCAACCTCCGCCATCCTGGAGGTGGCCTTGGAGTCTGCGCTGATGTGACTTGCCTGAGTGGGCTGCCAGTCCTGCCCACTGGTTATTTGTGGTTACCACCACCTGTTACTCTTGTCACCACCCATCACTGGTCCCTACCACCAGTTACTTTTGTCACCACTGGTTACTCTTATCACTACTGTCATAGAGGAGGTGACCTATCATAACCACTGGTTACTTGTCATTACCAGCTGTTACTTTTGTTACCACTGGTTACTTCTGTTGCTGCTGATTACTCATCATTACCGGTGATTACTTGCTGGCACTCACTGGGTGTTGCATTCCGTCTGTGGGTGCTGTCGTCCCAGCTGGGGTTCCAGGTGTTACAAGGGCCGGATGAGAGCTGTCGCCCTGTGTCTCAATGGCTGTTGGATGAAGGTGTCTCTGCATTGTGTCTAGAGAGTCTTGGGTTCCAGCTCCTGTGGTCTCTGGGATGGGTGCTCCTGGTGGCAGATGAGAGCTCTGGTTTTCGGGTTTATCTCTGGGTGTCTTGCGGTGGTCAGCAGGAAGGACCCACAGGGGCTCCTGGGCCTGCTTGGAGGGCCAGCTGCCTCTGCACATCGCAGTGTTTGGGCAGGTGTGAGTTGCTTGAGGAGGCAGGCCAGGCAGTGGTCAGGCTCACAGGCCTGGAGTCAGAGGGCAGGAGTCTGGCTCTGTCCCCGAGGCAGATTCCTGCCAGGTGTGGCATGGATTAAGTGAGAGGACACTGTCCTCTCTGCAGTTCCACAGGCCATGCTCCTGAAGCAGTGCTCTGGCTCTGCTTCTCACCTCGTGAGATGCCCACAATCTTCCCCGGCTCCCTCCTGCTACAGCTTCTGTTCTTCCACAAAGTCCCAATCCCTTCCCCTTCCCCCGAGGACCCCTATGGCGCTCCCCGGCTGCCCCGCACTGGGCCCCGGTCCTTCATGGACCCCCATGGCACTCCCCAGCTGCCCCGCACTGGGCCCCGGTCCTTCATGGACCCCCATGGCGCTCCCCCGCTACCCCGCACTGGGCCCCGGTCCTTCATGGACCCCCATGGCACTCCCCAGCTGCCCCGCACTGGGCCCCGGTCCTTCATGGACCCCCATGGCGCTCCCCCGCTACCCCGCACTGGGCCTTGGTCCTTCATGGACCCCCATGGCGCTCCCCCGCTACCCCGCACTGGGCCTTGGTCCTTCATGGACCCCCATGGCGCTCCCCCGCTACCCCGCACTGGGCCTTGGTCCTTCATGGACCCCCATGGTGCTCCCTGGCTGCCCCGCACTGCGTCCTGGTGGAGCTGTTTTGTACTTTGTCCTGGGCTGTGATGTATGTGCACCTGTGGGGTTGGCCCTGCTCTGAGCTTTGTACACGGCCGAAGTCCAGTTAAGCCCCATCCTCTTGATGACCCTGAGAGGTGCCCAGCTGGCCGCAGGGAGGAGAAAGAGAAACTGATAGAGAGGTGGGGCCAACTTCTGCTGAGTTTCTGTTTCCTCTCCTGGCCCTTGGCCGGTAGAAGAGAACCTCACCAGCTGGCCCTGGTTTAGAAATCAGGCAGAGAGGCAACTCCAGACCCCGGCTGGAGCTCAGAACCATTGAGGGCATCTTGGGGGCTGGGGAAAGAGTTGGAGCCAGGGGACGCAGTGGTGGGCCTGGCTCCTAACTCTCCTTCCAATGCTCCTTCGCTCCTTCCAGGATCCTGGAACCCAGGAGTTTCCCCAGGATGAGCTGTGCCCTCTTGTCACACCCAGGGGCTGTATCTGCCCAAGCCCCTCCTCCTCCCCTAGCCTCAGTCAGACCCCAAGCTGGGCTCACCCTGCCCCGTGCCCCCCACCCTTGAAGTAGGGTGGGTCGGGCTGCTTTTACCCAGGATCCTGGTTACCAGTTACCTCCCAGCCTTCCCGGGATCCCTGGGTGCTTGGTCTGCAGAGACAGGGGCTGCAGGGGTTGGGGGGCAGCAAGGAGCCTCCCTCCACCCCAACCCCCACAGGGCTGGAGGCCAGGAGACACAGGGTCTTGTCAGTGAGAGTGGGGCTGGGTGGGGCTGGGATTGGCTCCCTGGGGCTTGATCATTCATCCCTTCACTGGACCCTGCAACAGGCATTTGGGGCCCCTACCGGGGTGTAGGTGGCAAGGCCACTACCCTCGGGGACTCAAGCCTGGTGACAACTTAGAGCACAGCACAAGGAGAATGCACTGGGGCAGGCGGGGTTCCTGGGAGCATATAACAGGCTGCGGCCCGAGTCGGGGTAGCTAGCAGACATGGGAGGAGGAAGCAAAGCTGGAGCTTGGGGGGCTGCACTCCAAGAACTGCGCGTTGGCCTGGGGGTCCTGAGGGCTGGAGCGAGTGAGGAGTGGAGCAGGGGTGGAGCAGGGACAGCCCTTGCTGCAGCCACTCCAGCCCCCTCTGGTTTTGCTGACTGCTGACCCAGGTCCTTGGGGCCCTCACCAGGACGAGGGCTCGTGGGGTGGGTCCTGCTTGCTGGCCTGCCTGGAGGAGTGGGGAGGGTCTCCCATGGGGGTCTCATCTCGCCTCTTGTCTTCTCAGTCCAGGATGATGGGGTCCCGAAACCGGCGAGCCATGCAGGACACGCACAGGTACCGGCACCACTACCCGGTACGTAGCCGCCCACAGCACCCTCACACCTCAGCAGCCCCGCAGGGACAAGACCCTCCTGCTCTCCAGCCGGAGAAGGCCAGCTGGACAATGTGTCCCGTGTCCTGCCTGAAACCCCACCTGGGCCTACTGCTCTTCCCCTGTGTCTGGGGTGACGGGTGCCTTACCTTTAAAACACGGTGAAAGCACCAGTCCACGGGAGCCTGGCCCCACGAGCCCATCGCAGCCCCTGCCCTCTGCACCTGTGAGTCTCAGGCAACCCCTGGGCTGCCTTTGGGTGCAGATGAAGGGGACCTCCCAGCGCTGGCCCACTGTGGTGAGGAGGGGAAGGTGGTGGTTGGGGGGGCTGCTGTTGTCTGCAGGGAGGCCGGTCCTCTCCTGGGGTGAGGGGTGCCGGCTGGGTGCTCAGGGTCCTCACCATCCTGCAGAATGTCTGGAGGTCCCAGAACCCCATCCCCTAGGAATGCTTTAGTCTAATGGGCCCTCGGAGGCAGCCTGTCTCCAATGATGTCCCACCCAGCACCTTTCTCCGGCCCTTCAGGATTTGGTAGAAAGAGACGGCAATGGCGACATGCCAAACCTGAGCTTCTACAGAAACGAGATCCGGTTCCTGCCTAACGGTGCGTCCTCCTCGGCCGCCAGCAGCTCCGTCCTGGGGGGTGGGTGCTCTCCCCTCTGCCTGACCAGTCCACTAGGACATGCTTTGGGACAGGCCACAGCGTTGGGCTGGTGGCCTTCAGATAGCCCCAAGGTGCCCCCTGGAGGCTACCGAGAGCAGACCAGCGCCCCAGCCTGCAGCCTGGAGCTGGCCTGCAGACTTGCTGTGGAGGGCTGGGCAGCAAGTGTTGGTGGCCCTGCAGGCCCAGGGTCTCTGTCCAGCTACTCAGCTCTGCTGCTGGAGTGGGAAAGCTGCATGTGTAAACTGAGTAAGAATGGCTTTTACACTTTTAAATGCTTGGGAAAAATTTAAGGTAGACTAATATTTTGTGATGCGTGAAAATTACATGAAATCCAAATTTCAGTGTCCATAGGTGAAGTTTCATTGGAACCGCCACGCCCATTCATTTATGTGTTGTCTGTGGCTGCTTTCCCACCACAATGCAGCGTAATTGCAGCAGAGGACATGTGGCCACGCAGCCTCAAATACTCACCTGGCCCTTTGCACAAACAGTGGCCGCCCTGCGGGACACCAGGCTACTGGGTGGGGCTTGCCTGGAGGTTCTGTTTGAGGACAGAGTTCCAGCTAACAGGCTGTGGTTTGGGGGAGCAGGGAGACCCCCTTCTGGGCTGGGACCACTTGTCCTTCTCCCGAGGGGCTTCTTGGGCCCTCCCACCCAGTGCACCCGGTGTGGTCTTCTCTCTCTGATGTGCCCTCGGTCAGCAATGGGGGTCCTGTTTCCAGACTGCAAAGAGGGCGTAAGTTGGGGGGTTAAAATGATGTGAGGTGTGCAGTGCAGAGCTGCCGAGTCCCTGGTTCCTCCAGAAAGGAGGGGTAGAGGCGGGAACGGGGCGTTTGGCAGCTCTGAGGTGACTTGTCCCCCTCCCGTGGGGCTGCTAGGCTGTTTCATTGAGGACATTCTTCTCAACTGGAAGGACAAGTATGACCTCCTGGAGGACAATCACTCCTACATCCAGTGGTGAGTGGGAGGGACCGGGGAGGCGCTGGGGGGAAGGGCTCTGGGGGAGGGGCTAGGGGTGCAGATGAAGGGGCTCCCCACCTCAGGCAGGACCCTGGCCTCTTCCCGAGGCACCCTGGTGCTTACTGAGCCGGCACGCTCATCCTTTCTGGAAGGTGCACAGCACTCACTGCGGGGCCAGCAGTGGCCGGGGGAGGAGTGCTTGTCCTGCAGATGCTCACCTGTGCCAGGGAGCCCCTCTGACCCGCGAGGGGGCAGGGTTCTCATGGCAGCTCGAGGTGACCCTCACCTGCATTGCTGCCTGGGAGACCCATGATGTTGCCCTGCGAACACAGTGTGCCTGTGAGGACAGCACACAGCACGCAGGGCGTCACGGGGAACAATTCTGCAGCATTAATGACTGGAAAGAAAGAACTTCAGAACCAAAGGGAAAGCTGGGCTGCCCTGGGTGGATGGTGGCAGATCAGCCTTGCTGCTGGGCGTAGGCCCTGCGCGCCTGTCCTGTGCCCTTGTCTGTGACAGCTCCCTGGAGCTCTCCCGCCCTCACCCCTTGGCTTTATTGACTTGGGAGAGCCTGCAGCACAGGTTTGTCCAGCCAGCCCCTCCTAGAGTTGAGCAGTGAGCCCAGAGAGGCTCCAGGCCACCCAGCCAGCTTGTGCCAGCGTGGCTGGGAGCCCGTGTCTGCCACTCAGGGGGCCTGTGCTGTCTCTTCTCCTGAAGGCTGTTTCCTCTGCGGGAGCCAGGAGTGAACTGGCACGCCAAGCCCCTCACACTCCGGGAGGTCGAGGTGAGCCGTAGGGGCTGAGAAGCCACCTGCCCAGGGAGGGGTCCTGTCTGGCCACAGGTGTTTACATGCTGTTGGAAGCCTCGTGGAGCACAGGAGCTGGAAGAGCCCCCAGTGTAACTATCTTCCCTCCAAAGTGGTCCTCGCCTGCGCCCCTGGGTGCTCTTTACGGGCTTCTGGGAAACTCTGACTTTCAGCAGCAGTTGGCCTCAAGTCAGGGAGTCCAGAGCAGAGGCTTGGCCTCTGTCACCCCTGGAGGGACGTGAAGGGCTCGGGGAGCTGAGGGCCCGCGGGAGGTACAGCTGGTCTGCAGAGGAGATGGTGGTGTTTCCTGCCACCCAGCCAGCCTCGGAGGCCCCTGAGCTCTGCCCAGCGGCTCAAGGAGATCCTCCCGGGGCTGAAGCAGGTGCCTCAGGCCCATGAGCCTCGTAACAGCTCAGAGTAAAGGGAGAGCTGCATGGACACATCCCGGCTCCTCCCTCGTCACTCTACCCTAAAAGTCTGGGGCCGGGCCCTTAGGTGGATCACGGCCTGAGAGAGGCACCAGCCAGCCCGAGGGCCACTGAGCTCTCCGCTCTCCTTGCGTGTGTTTTCCAGGAGTTTAAAAGCTCCAAGGAGGTCAGGGAGCGGTTTGTCCAGGCCTACGAGCTCATGCTGGGGTTCTACGGGATCCAGCTGGAGGACCGGGACACGGGCAAGGTGTGCCGGGCTCAGAACTACGAGAAGCGCTTCCAGAACCTGAACGGGTGAGGCTGCCCTGCTGCCCCCCTGCCCTGGCTTGCCCCCACTCTGCTGCCTCCCTCAACCTACACCCCACCCTGCTGCCCCCCACCCTGCATCGCCGCCACCCTGCTGCCTCCCTCAACCTGCACCCCACCCTGCTGCCCCCCACCCTGCATTGCCGCCACCCTGCAGCCCGCCCGCCCTACACCACCCCAGCCCTGCACCACCCCCATCCTGATGCCCCCCTCAATCTGCACCCACCCCACCCTGCTGCCTTCCCTGCCTTGCACCCCCCACTCTGCTGCCCCGCCTCTCTGCTGTCTGCCCGCCCTACATCACCCCAGCCCTGCTGAACCCCAGCCCTGCTGCCCCCCACCCTGCACCCAACTCACCTGGCTTCCCCCACAGCCTGCTGTCCCACTCCACCTTGCTGCCCCCACTGCCATGCACCTCCCCACCCTGTTGCCCCAACCCACCCAGTTGTCCCCCCACCCTGCTGACCCCCCTGCCCTGTGCCCCACCTCACCCTGCTGCCTCACCCCACCTTGCTGCCCCCCTGCTCTGTGCCCCACCCCAGCCGGCTGCCCTCTCATCTTGCTGCCCCCCATGCCCTGCACCCCACCCCAGCCTGCTTCCCCCCGACCCTGCTGCCCCCCCTGCCCTGCTGTCCCTCCGCCCTGCACCCCACTCCACCTTGCTGCCCTCCCACCCTGCTGCCTTCCCGCCCTGTACCCCACCCTGCTGCCCCCCTCACCCTGCACCCCACCCCACCGTGTGGCCCCCACCCTGTGCCAACCCCTCCCTGTGGCCCCCCCACACCCTGTGCCCCACCCCACCCTGCTGCCCCCTGCCATATACCCTACCCTTCTCTCTTGCCCCCCGCCCTGCACCCCACCCCTGCAGTGTGGGGATCTCCAGTTGAGCATGAGGCTGCGCTAGGTTTCAGGCAGATGTGGGGGCACTTCCGGGGGCACAGCACTTGGACAAGTGACCAGGGCTCTGAGCACCCTCTCCCTTGCTCGCAGGTGTGGGTAGTCCTACCTGGTAGGGTGTGGAAATGTAGAGAAAGCCCCAGAAGGAGTTTGGCTTCTTGGCTGTACTCCTCCTGCCCTTGTGGGCCGGGGTCAGGTTACCAATGGGGCTCAACCCACCTGTCAGCGTCCCTGAGCCTTGCACCTGGTTGACGGCAGGCACAGCCCCTTCATCCCCATTGAGAAGCGCTGGGCGGGGAGCACAGACAGGAAGTCACTCTGCTGATGGCACAGCCCCCTTTGCATGCGGGTGACTGAGGCCCCCATACTGGAGGCCCCTGCTCTGGAGGGTCCCCTGGCCTCCTCCTGCCATGCAGGGTGAGGGGGTTACATGGGACTAAGGGACATCCCTGTAGAGGATGCATCACAATCCCACACCTGCATGGTCCAGGACCAGGGACCTTTTTCTCAGGGACTGAGGCGAGGCCCAGGGTGGGAGCAGGTGGGGACAGAGACTGGGCATGTGGACTGGAGTGTCTCTGCTGGTGGACACCAGGGTCCTGGAGGGTGGGGTGGAGCAGGGTGGGGGAAGGCAGGCTTTGACTGGGACCGGTGCGCAGCCCACCAGCGCCCCCACTGCTCACCCTGCCCCCAGGCACAGCCACAACAACCTCCGCATCACACGCATCCTCAAGTCGCTGGGTGAGCTGGGCCTGGAGCGCTACCAGGCCCCGCTGGCCCGCTTCTTCCTGGAAGAGACGCTGGTGCACGGGAAGCTGCCGGGCGTGCGCCAGAGCGCACTGGACTACTTCGTGTTCACCGTGCGCTGCCGGCACCAGCGCCGCAAGCTGCTGCACTTTGCGTGGGAGCACTTCGAGCCCCGCTCCAAGTTCGTCTGGGGTCCCCACGACAAGCTGAAGAGGTTCAGGCCGCACTCTCCACCTCGTCCGCCCCTGCGGGTGGGCCCCAGGCAGACCGAGGTGGACGAGAGCCCTGGGGACTCTCTCCTTGCGTCTGGTGCCCGGGGGTGGACCTGTGAGCCGGGGAAGGACAAGGAGGGGGACAGTGTGGCCCCAGGTTCCCAGCCAGGAAGCGCAGAGCCCCAGGAGGCGTCAGCCCTGGAGAGGGACCAGGAAGATGAAGCCAGGGGCTGCAGGGAGGAGGGGCCGGAGCCCTCAAGTCCTAAGGAGAGCAAGAAGAGGAAGCTGGAGGTGAACCGGCCTGAGCAGGCCCCAGGGGAACAGGCCCTCCAGGGTGCCTCAGAGGTGGAGAAGATCGCCCTGAACCTGGAGGGCTGTGCCCTCAGCCAGGGCAGCCTCCAGGCAGGGACCCAGGAAATGAGCAGCCAGGACCCAGGGGAGGTGGAGCAGCCGTGCCCCCAGCCTAGTGTGGCCAAGGTGGCCGACGAGGCGAGAAAGCGAAGGAAGGTGGACCAGGGCACCGAAGCCGACACTGAGGTTGTGGTCGACACTGAGGTGGTGGCCGGTGGTGAGGCCCCAACACCAGCCCCCACCTGGCCCCCTGCCCCATCAGGACGCCCTGAGGCCAGAGAGGGTGAGAATGGGGTCAAGGAGGAGGCAGAAGGCTATGCGGGGCCGGAGCAGGGTGCCCCCCAGAGCCCAGTGGCTGCAGGACCCACAGCAGATGAGAAGGCTGTGGCGACGGAAGTGGGGCCGTCTGCCGAACCTCCAAAGTCTTAAGGGAAAGGAGAGCCAGCCGTCCATCTGGGAGCCATGGTGCCAGCTGTCCTCAGCACCCAGCAGTGCTGGCCCCTCCCTGTGGTCACTGCAGCAGCCATTGCAGCCGCTGGAAGGACACGCCCCCCTAGGGAAGGCCAAGGACTGGGGGTCCTCCCCACCTCGCTCTCTTTTCCACCTCCCCGCTCTGTGCCCTGCCCCTATCTTTGGAAATTGGCCTTTAAGAGTCTTGGGGGAGTGGGGCTCATTTTCTTAGTCTGGTTCCGAGGCCTTTCTGAATAAACTCATTTGACTTTGAGTGCTCAGGGTGTGGACAGTGGGCCTGTGGTGGGTGGGGGCTGGGGCTGGGTTCATGAGGGCTACTGCTCGGGACTCCCTCCCTCTGGTGCGAAGTGCCCTCCTCGCCCGCACCCTGACCACAGGCCCCAAGCACACGTCCTCCTGGAGCCTCTGGGACAAGACGATCCCTTGGCTGTCTTTCTCACCAGCTCAAGAGCAGGTCTGGGGACTTGTGCACAGTCCTGTGGGGTGCGCTGGGTCGGGGGAGCAGTGCTGCGGCATCGGGTCTGGCCCATGCCTTCGCCTGCCGTGGCTCAGGGTGCCGCGATGCACCTTGGGGAGCAAGCTCAGCAGCGCCTGTGGCTCTGCCAGCTCTGTCCCCATCCTGGCAGCGCAGCTCCCACCATCCCCCGCAGCCGTCCCAGGACCCCTGGGCTCCTCCGACCTGGCATGGGCACAGTGTGCCTCCCACCACAGCAGCCCCCTCCCCGCGGGGCACGGTTGGCTCCCAGCCCAGCTTTGTCCCCCTGGGCCAGCCCGGCCCGCGCCCACCTCCCCCCATGCACTGGCATTTCTACATCCCCACCAACCAGTGAGGAGACTACAGAGAGCCCCACACTCACCTTTGGTGGAGTGAAAGGAGTGACGGAGCGCACTGCTCTCCTTAGGGCGGAGGGAGGAGCATGGTTGCTTCTGAGAGTTTAGCTGTGATCCATGAAAGCACTGATGGTGTGGAGAGGTGTGCTGGACAAACGGGAAGTGGTTGGGGAGGGGGAGACCGAGTTAACTTTCCCTGGTGCTGGGTCACAGAGGAGTCTGACCTTTGCAGCTGGCTCCCTCCCCATGCCCTGGTCTGCTGGAATGGGGGAACCCCCAGTGCCTGAACTCTGGTTTGGCTCAGAGATGGGGTTTCCACCAGGGAGGGGAAACTGAGATGGGTATGGGGTGTCAATCACTTCAGGATCCCAGTGACCCCGTGGTCAGGGTCCTCAGTTGAGACCATTTTCGGGCTCAAGTTCAGATGGGGAAGCTCGAAGCCTGAAGTGAGATGGAAATCCCATTGAGCACCCCTAGGGGAGGGGGTCTGTGCCCAGCAGAGGGACCTAGGCACAGGCTTCAGGGAGAGCAGTGGACAGTGCTCTGGTTCCGCCGTGAGGCACGGGTGGCATGAGGCCGCTCACTGTGGCTCTTTGGGCTTTGAGGCAGGGCTGCTCTCCAGGGGGGTCTGCACGGAGCCGGGGGTGTGTTTGTGCTGGGGGCGGGGGTGGAGTGAGGTTCCAAGCACCAGGTTGCTCCCCTGGCCGAAGTGAAGGCCAGCTGGGCTTCCTCTGAGGCTGGTCCAGCAGGAGCCCTCACTGGCCACGTGCTGGACGTGGGGTTGAGGGAGAAATGGGCTGTGGACCATGTGGGAGGGACTGAGGAGGAGAACTGATGGGAGGAAGGGTCTTGCCCCCAGCCCCACCCTGCTGTTTCTGAGAGTGTCCTGGGATGACGCGGACTCCACTGGAGGGCAGGAACTTTCTAGCTTCTCTTGGCCCTTCTGGATAGAATTCACACACCCCCCATCTGAGGTGTGGCCAGGCCTGAGGGAGCCCACAGTCCAACCCACACTGAACCATTGCCTCCCTGCATGTTCCTTGTCCTCTTCCGTCCGCTCCCTCTGTGTGCGTTCACATCATCTCGTGTCCCGAGTTCCCACCTGCAGAAAAGGAGCACTTGCAGCACCCTACAAGCCTAGAGGACATTTCCCAGGGAATTCTGAAGATTCAGACAGGGGTGGGGCCAGGAATCTGCACGTTCAATGGGCCCTGTAGGTGACCTGCATGCTTGAGAGTCCACTGGGTGGCCATTGAGGCTGCCTGACCCCAGGCGGTGTTCCTTACCCTGATGTTCCCCTACCCCCCAGGGTGAAGCACGGCTTGCCCAACTTTGTAACCCCATAGCTGCCCAAGGCTTATGAGACACAGGAACTGCCATGCCAGCCTTGGAGTCACCGTTCATCACAATTTTGCTCGGGCCCCCAGGTCATGGTGGTGCTTACTTTCTGCCAGGGCCACCACTTGGCTCTCCCTTGGGGTGGGGGCTGCCAGGTCTTCCAGGGCCACCACTTGGCTCTCTCCTGGGGGAAATGGGAGGGTGCCAGGTGAGAGTCTGGCCTCTGCCAGTGATGGCTGATGTGGACAGACCACTCAGTACAGTTAAAGTTTGGGGTGAGGGCCCTGGGAGTGGGAGGTGCTCCCAGCCGAGCAGGCATGGGTCTAGACTCTTTCCCAGGGCAGGGCCAGAAGGCAGGAACCGGGGCTGTGGGGGCCCTGTCTACCCCTGGCACAAGGGTGCTCGCTATCTCTGGGGGGCTTCCTGGGTCCCACTCAGGACCCTGAGATGGGATATGCAACTCCTGCACCCCGTTTCCAGGACTAGGGCTGCCCCTTCTCCAAAGGAGCCCTTCACTGTGGGATTCCTCCCTCTGCACACTGGGGCGAGGGGCAAAGGGAGAAAAGAGCACCTTTCTTTTTTGCTAAAAGGTATATGTGTGTAAGTCACCAGTGCTGGGATAATTTTAACTCAGAGGCTGGCCAAAAAAATGCCACTGGGCTTCTTTTTTCCCCCTGCCTGTCTCGGCAGGGAGGCGCGGGGCGGCAGGGGAGCCCCCGCCCGCCCAGGTGGGCCCAGCTGAATGGGGGGCTTGTGTGCGGCCGGCGGGGCGGGAACTGGCATCCAGCCCACTGCCCGCCCCGCCCACCGAGCCCCGAGCCGAGCTGGACACCGCCGCCGGCGCAGCTCAGAGAGCGAGTGCAGCCATGGCCGGAGCCCCCACCCTGGCCCTGCTCCTGCTCGGGCAGCTCCTGGCCGTGACCATGACCGAGGCACAGGTGAGCATGGGGCTACAGGCGTGCTGGGCTCGCACAGGCAAACAGCGGCCCAGAGTAGGGGATCCAGGGCTCTGAGTTCAGACATCAAGCAGTGCAGCCAGGGGTGAACCCCCACCCCAGCCACTCTGGGCCAGCGAATGAGGCGGGGATGCTGTGGGCCGTGGGCGCTTGGAGAAGCTGGTGCAGCCTTGTTGTCCCATAGCCCACCTTGCCATCTGTGGCACGGAGTCACAGTTGCCCAACTGAACCCCCAAAGATGCCGGGACACCTTGGGGATGAGCCCAGGAGGCCACCCCGTCCTTGCCTGGCTGGGGTCTGGCTGCTGCCGCCAACAAGGACGCACAATGTCGCTTTTGTTCCCAGCGGCTCCCTGCTGGGCTGGGACGCAACCCGTCTTGGCCAAACAAACAAGCAGCATGGATATTGCGCATGGATATTGCCACGGGGGTCTCTGAGGCGGTCCAGGGTTGTGCCCCTGACAGGGCCCAGTGCTTGGGATCGGGGAGAGGGACACTCCATCGGGCTGACCTGAGGGCCAACCAGGGGTACCCACCCCACAGGAGGCAGCGGCACAGCTGCCTAATGACATTTCTCCATTTTCAGAAAACGGGACCTCCAGGCCCCCCTGGTCCCCAAGGGCCACCTGGGAAGCCCGGCAAGGATGGCATCGATGTGAGTTTGGGGGCTGGGAAGGGCCACGGAGGGTTCTGTGGGGTTCCAGCTCTGACCTCAACCTCCCTGAGCCCCCAGGCCCAATGGAGAAAATGCTCAGTCCACCTCCCAGAGCTGGGTTACATCACGTGATGAGCCAGCACCCCTTGTGGGATGTGGAACGGGACAAAGATGATCCTTGTTTCTAGTTGGGGCACACCCCATGGGGATGGCATCCCCAGAGCAGGTGGGGGTGCCGCATGGTGGTCTTTGGACTGGAAATGGAGGGGCCCGTGCTCCTGGATTCTGGGGGTGGAGGTATGAGTCCTGTCCCTCTGGGTGGGTCTTGTGGGGGCTGCTGGGGGCTGGAGCCAGCCTTGGAGGGAGCTTGGAGGCTGGCTCTGCCCCAGAGATGGCATACTCCGTGGGTGCCTCAGTCCAAGTGTGGCCCAAGCAATATGGAGAGGCGGCTGAAATCCTGCCCCCCGACAGGGACCACCTGGGGTGAAAGCCCCCCATCCAGCCCCTCCATGAAAGGCGGAGAACCCCCACAAGGCCTCTCCTCACCCATATGGCTCCCTGGGTGCAGCCCCCACGGGTCCTCAGCCTCCTTTGAAGTCCCCAGGCCCTGCCCGGCCCTGATGGCCCTAAGCCTCCCCCGACCCTTCGCAGGGCCGTTGCTCAGGTGTTCCTCCCCGGCCTCCTGTGGGGGCTGGGCACCTGGTGCCCCAGGGCTCCCAGGCTGACTGGAGCCAAGCTGAATAGTTCCTTCTGGGGACACGTCTGCTTAAGACTTGGCATGGAAGGCTTGGGGAAAGATTTATTCCAGGCCTAGTGGTCGTGGCGGGAGGTGAGGGCAGAGGCTGGGGTGTCTTCCTGGGCCTCTATGCATCTAGGGGGCCGCTACCTCCGACCAGGTGGAGCGGGAGGCCTCTCGGTCCACTTTCTTAAGCTTTTCAGTTGGGTGGAGAGGAGGGGCTTCATGGTGCTTCCCCTCCTTTCTGGGGATCATGTCCCTGTGACCTGAAAGTGGTCCCCAAAAGCTGTGCGGGCCCTGCAGGCACTGAGCCATCTGTCCAGCTCACCCTGCCCCCCTCCGCTGCCTCTGCATGTGGCCTTAGAGGGGAGGTGGCCCTTACATGTGGACGAGGGGTGAGGGGCTCCCCTCTTCTCTCCTAGGACGGGGTTTCTAAGGACTCTTGGTCACGTGTGGGCGTCTCCTCCTCTACAGGGAGAAGTTGGCCCTCCAGGTCTGCCTGGGCCCCCGGTGAGTGTCCTGGCTGCAGTGGGGAGAGGGGCAGCCCCCTTCTGGTCTGGGGGGGTGGAGGTGGGCCTAGGACAGAGGGGTCTGCACCACTTCCCAGGCGCTGGGCCTCAGAGGGCTGAGCCAGGAGGGGTGGGAGGGGACAGCGCGGGGCCCAGCGTCTCTGGGCAGGGTCTGGCTTTGAAGCTTTCTTTGGGCCGGCGCCCGGACAGGCCAGGGGAGGGGTCCATA